ATTACAGTCCACTATGGATGAAAATCGACAAATGGCTATTGAACTATTTTATTCACTGCACGCATACTTGCTTTTAGAATTTCTTATAATATATTATGATTATTGGAAAATATGTTGCTCTAGAGTTTAGATGGTGTAAATGAAMATAATTTTAAAATAATTAAGATCAAATAAAAAAGCAGTAAAATTAAAGATTTGTCTGATTTAAAGATGTAAAAATTATATAAGACAAACTAAAGGGGGAGGGGGGCTCAGCCATCTCCAATCATAAATTTTAAATTTGAGTTATGAATGAACTAAATATTAAGTTTTCAAATTTCATTACCCAGAAAAAAAAATTCTATGAAAAAATATCAAAAAAAAAATCAACAATTCTAAGTGTTTATATAATAATTCTTCTATAATAAATAACTACCTATATATATTTTAAATATTTTGAAAATTTCATTATGGCTAGAAAATATTACTATAACTATTTTGATGAACATTTTATATAATAAAAGGTGTATTGAAAATTGTATTATTATTTTTTCATAATATTGTAATTATTGAAAATATTAATAAATGTCATAACTAGGGAGGGAGTGCTAGCCGAGAAAACTGTATATTTGGCTGCATCCGAGTTAGATTCCAAATTCCAAATTGCCTCACTAGTCAAATACTGGCTTATTTTAGGTAGTAGTACCTAGCTAATACACCCCCATTATTTTGTTGGTTTTATATCAGTTGGTTCCTATTTTTTTTTTCTAAGTACCTACTAGATTATACATTTTTCTCCCCATTTCAAAAGACTTAGGTTTGATTTTTTTAGATTAAAGACAAAAGGTATGATGCTTAAAATTTTTTTTTCAGTTTCTTATTTTTTGTTTGTGGTTTATTTGCCGTTAAAATATGAATTTAAAAAAATTACAAATAAATTATAATTATGATATAAAACAAATGTCGATACATTACCAAGAAAATATTAAAATTTTAAAATTAATAACGGATTCAATACTTGAGAGTATTATCTAAAATAAAACCACACCCAACTAGTGTAGTAGGTACCTGTGATTAGTGCTTAGTACTTGAGAGTTAGGACCCAATCTTAATCAATACATGATCATAGTCAATTTTAATCTTTTAATCGTACCTATTCTAATATTATCCACGGCCACGACTACTCCTAAACA